AGACCAGCCTGGCCCACAAAAAACCTACCTCCAAATAAATGACTTGGGTGAGGAAATCGCTAACTGGGTTAGAGCGCTTGCTGGCCAAGTCTGATGACTTGAGTTCAGATCCCTGGTACCCACATAAAAGCAGGACATGGTGGCCCATCTCTGTAGCAGCAGCACTCCTAAGACTAATTGTGAGGCCAAGACAGGAGCACCCCCAAGAATCTTGCAGGACAACTACCATGAAATATGCAGACAAGAGAGACCCCGCCTCAAACAAGATATAAGGTAGGACCTCCATACACATGCTGTGTATGCATACATTCTCATATGCATGGACTAAATTTTTTTTTTAATAAGAGGGAGGGACAACCAAAATAAAAGGGGTATAAAAAAGCCACATAGAAACCTATAATCTTCCCACCAAAAAAAATTTTTTTTTAAGCTGGATATCCTGCAAGGCTTTAAAAAAAAAAAGGCTCCTTCTTGAAATGGTTTGTCAAACAAAAGTCTCCATGTCCAATTCAGGGCAACTCACTATGAGTTGCTAGTGAGGGAGGCCTTAGGGGCCCACAGAACAATACAGGTTCTTGCCATTGCTCTTGGTTGCCCACTTTAACTAGGTGATAAGCCCTTCGTGCTAAAGTCACCACACATCTTGGCTGCATGACATAGATAATCAAGCTGGAACTGAGCTGGAAGCCTCCTTGCTGGCTTTTATAATGCCAGAACGTGCTATGCAGGCTGCTGGGGGAAGAAAGGTCATCAACAGTTTCACTCAGCTGTAAGCCCCACAAACGGACACCAGCTTGCCAGGCAAAGATGTGCCTGCCCACTTAGGCAATAGTGGTACAACTGTTATGGGGACAACCAACTATCCTTTTATTGGATTTGAGAAGACCTAGTCTCCACAGAGAGAATCCTTATTGGTACTGCAAACCTGCTCAAAAGCTCGTAGTGAGGAAGAACATAGGTCTAAATGCACTTTTTTTTTCTTTTTTTTGTTTTTGGTTTTTCAAGACAAGGTTTCTCTGTATTCCTGGCTATCCTGGAACTTGCTCTGTAGACCAGGCTGGCCTCAAACTCAGAACTCAGAGATCCACCTGCCTTTGCCTCCAGAGTGCTGGGATTAAAGGCATGTGCCACCACTGCCTGACTAAATGCACATATATATATATATATGTATATATATATATATACTCATAGACAATCACCATTCTCAATAAACAGAAGCCTCTTTTCAGTGAATTGAGATGAACTTTTACGACTGTATATAGTGTTGAGAGTAAATCACGGTTGAGTGCTCAACCCCAAGCAGTACATTTATAGCATTCCTGCCAAAGCTCAGGGGACACTGTGGAAGAACGGGAGAAAAGAAAAAGCTGGCAGACAGGAAGAAGGGCTGCAAAATGCCATCTTATGGCAGCCACTGCGATCAAGGACTCCTCCAAACTACTGATTACTGCAATGAATCTGCTCACCAGCCAGACAAGGATGGAGAAGGGACTCGGGGGTCCCTAACCATCACTGTTGAACTACTTTCTACATATAAATTCAGGGAAAGAAGGAATCACTGTCATCACTTGAGCAACCACTGGTGACCCCCTCCAGGCTACAATGGACAACCCTAATCCAATGGTCACACAGATGACTCTGACTAAAAGTTCACACAACAAAACCTAAAGTCATGAATCTGGAGAAGGCATAGGTAGGGAGGAGGGGGTGTTGGCATGGATGGGAAGGAGATAAGAGAGGGTCTGAAGAAACAGTAACCAGAAGGTAATCAGGATATACATGTCAATGAATTAATTAAAAAAATAGAAAAGTCATATCATTTAATAGAGAACCAAGAATGGAATAATTAGTATAAAAATATTAAATAATTTTAGCTAGTATCACAACTTTAAAAGTTTACTTTTTAAAAACAGAAAATATACACTCTTTTGTACTATACATGGTAAAATTTTGGTACCCACATCAAATGGCTTTCAGTGCCCTTCCCTTCACTGAAAATTCTTCTCAGTCTAATAGAGAGATCACTCACATTGGTAAGGGTGGGATGCCACTCAAGTTTACAATGTGCCCCTTCTCCCGGCAGGGATGGGCAATAGGTAGGAAGGAAAGGGACTGAGATTTATTGAGATTGGGGACTTAAAAAATCATTTACCCCAGTTTATTAATACACCACTTAATTCTAGATGAGCAAAAGGAAACTGACGGTCATGACCCTGGGGTAGGTTAATTGATTACAGCTGCAAAATAATGAGCCTTGTAAGGAACTTCTTGTGATAGTTCAGACAAGAGATAGTTCGGATTCGAGTGTGTGGTGGGGTATTAGCAGTAACAAACAAGAACTTACTATTTTGTCCTAAAAGTGAATTATTTTAGGGAAGTGTATACAAGGTGGTTCCCAGAAGATTTTAAAGGAGACTGGAACAGTAGAAAAAAGATGTCAGTGTTTGTATTTGGACACACTGAGCTTGTTGGTTTAGAAATATTTATCTAGAAGTTATGCTATGAATTCAAGGAAGAAAGTGGGATTTTTTACTTTGGAATCATTGAGTAAATCCCCTTGCCCCTAACAATACTGACATTAAAACCATTAAAACAGACACACATACACACACACACACACACACACCCCAAAAAACCAAAAAAAACAAACAAAAATAACCCCCAAACCTGAGGGGCTGGTGGCATGGCTCAGCAGGCGCTTGCTGTGCAGGCCTGAGTATTCAAAGAATCCTAGGAGCCCACAGTGGAGAGAGTACTGACTCCCAAAAGCTGAAAAGTTGTCCTTTGACCTCCACATGCCTGCTCACTGCCCACCTGCACTGGCACATACTAAATATGGTTACTTCCACCATTGTACTGTAAGGTTTTTATTGAAGAAAATGAATATAAAAAATTAAATATAAAAACAAACATGGTAGTTAAAAATAGATAATTTAGCCCTACTGTTCAAAACTTGAGCATCTTTTATTTGTGGTGTCAGTTTATTGAGTTCTGGCTAAGTCTGTAGCAGAACCTACTGCAGCACTAAAAACAGTTATTGAAAACACAGAATGTAGGCTGGGCACTTTTAATCCCAGCACTCTGGAGGCAGAGGCAGGTGGATCTCTGTGAGTTCAGGACCAGTCTGGTCTACAAAGCAAGTTCCAGGACAGCCAGGGCTACACAGAAAAACCCTGTCTCAAAAAAACCACAAAACAAACAAGCCACAGAATATACAAGACTCTGTTTCACTTTCCTTCTCTGTCCTGTCCTCTTCCTGATGTTTACAATTTAGCTGATTCTCTACAAATAACTGTCTCAGTCTCTGGGCCCAAATGTTTGCTGGGCTGTTGAAGTATTGCTTTTCCAAAATGAGTAACATTCCTGGGATCTGCTTTCTCCCGTATATCAATTCCTATCTTCCACAAAAAACACTTTACCCAAATACACTCCAGTGCTAACCTTTCCTCCCACTGCAACTTTGTTTCCAGGTCAATTAAAAACAAGTACTAGCGGCTTCTCACTTATGCAAGCACCATCTCCAGAAAAAGGGAAAGGAAGATAAGGATTATTGCTGCTTTGCTTCAAAACACAGAGGATGAGCCAGGCTTGGCAGTGCATGCCTTTGATCCTAGCACCGGGGAGGCAGAGACAGGCGGATCTCGTTTGCGGCTAACTTGAGGTCTATAGTGTTTCTCAACATCCTAATGCTGTGACCCTTTAATACAGTTCCTCATGCTGTGGTGACCCCAACCATAAAATTATTTCGTTGCCAAAAAAAAAAATTATTTCGTTGCTACTTCATAACTGTAATTTTGCTACTGTTATGAATCGTAATGTAAACATACGCTATACAGGATATCTGTCATATGACCCAAAGGGGTCACGACCCACAGGCTGAGAACCACTGACATGGAACCTTCCAGGACAGGCAGGATTATAGAAACCTTGTTTCAAAGTAACAAAACAAACAACAACAACAAAACAAAAACGCGGGACTGATTAATTCTGGATTTCAAAAGTACTTAAATAGGAATCTCTGCCATCCATAACCCACCAACGTACACTGCAACATTGTAACACATTTATCTTGGCTTTGAAAATATATTCTTTAAGCAATATTTCCAACCACTTCACCTGTATTTTTTAAACAAGTTATACTTCTGGTATGTGTGTATTCTAACTCAAAATACAAAGTATTCTATTGATTAATTGTGACAAATACCTTTCTAAAGAAGTCAACAGTGGCTGGGGTTTTATCTTTCTAACTTAAACTGCTTAGGCAGGCTGGGAGAAATGTGCAAAAAACATTTTTTTGGTGGGGGCGGATATCTGAAATGTGGTGCTTTTCGACAAATACGTGCTTGGAACAAGCCCAAGACTTATAAATTATAGGAAGCAACAAGAGATAGGTTTTAAAGGCCTATCTCTTGCAGCTGGTGGTTTTTCCTTCTTTTAAAAAACAAAACTGAACTTTGTAGGGAGGTAGATGGAAAAAGGAGTAGGGAGAAAAATACCACAAGTCCACCTATGAACTCTTTCAACCTTATTTCACCATTGCAGAGACTCTGATAAAAATCTGTGCTTTTCCACACTGGTAACTTTTTCGAAACTGGACTAAATGAACTTTAAGCTTAAAGGACAACTTTCCTCTTTTCCTTGCTTTCTCAGACGAACATCGCCTCTTTCATCTCCAGGACCGTAAAATACGTCCCTCCTCCCTAGGATCGCACATGCGGGATTTCTTCCCCGTGTCTCTTGAAATCTACTTTCGCGAATGAGAAGGGACCCTTCTTGTAGATGCCTCGACTAATATGTTCCAAAGTCCACTGTGCTGTTTCCTAGTTCCTCTAGTAGTCTAGGCTGGCTCGCCTAGATCTCGGCTTCTCGCGCTCAGGCGCGGACTGGGAGACACGCGCGCGACGGGCAGCATTCTAAGCACCATCAGCGGTGCTCGCGCCCTCCTTTCCCTTCCCCTCTCCAAGGACACTTAGTACCGAGCTTGGCTTGCGCCCACTTACCTATACTAAGCTGTGGGATGTGGAAGGGATGGAGGAGGAAAGGAAAAACAATCAGACAGAAGCCGCAGTCTCTTCTTAGAAGCAGTAGCTACCACTAGAAGACACCGGCGCCTCTCGTGGTGCAAGGAGGTTGTGCACACGTCCTCCTCCCGGCACCCGTAGAAACTCCTAGCTTCGGAAAATTACCTTCCGGGTCGAGGTGCTTAGAGACGAAAGAGGAGTTGTAAGCTTCCTAAAATTCTACACTTTCGTGACTCCCCTCTCCCGGACTCAAATTCTTTTTGTGTCTCGTGAGTCTGTGCGGTCATGCTAAGCGTACTCTCCACCATTACTTTAGCTTCTAGCGCCTCCTGACATTTATGGACCGGAAGAGTCCCTTTCAACATAGCTCGGTGGGCACTTCCGGAAGTGACACGCCAGGATCCCGGAGAGTACTGGCGGGAGTGGAGAAAGGCAGCGATTCACGCCGCGGGTGGAGGATGAAGAAGGAGCATGTCAGTCACTGTCAGTTCTCCGCCTGGTACCCGCTCTTCCGAAGCCTTACCATCAAGAGGTAAGATACCTGGAGGCGAACTGCAGTGTTTGGGCTAATCCCATCTCCTTCAGAAAACTAAAAAAGGCAGGCCCTCTAACGACTCAGTGGGAGCGACGGCGTTGAGCTGTCGACTTCTTAGATTTGAGGTAGCAAGATTAGCAAAGAAGATCAGAATTTACCATGCTTCCCGTTGCGAGTCCTTGGAGCGTTTCAAGAGAGGTAGGAAAGCAGTGAGGGTCATAGGCAGCGTAAATTGAGATCGATACTTTTGGAATTGACAGAAGCACAAGGTGATAAACAAAACAAAGCAAAACTGGGTAGTCCACCTTGCCGCTTGTTGGTTGTTTTTGCTCTTTACTAATCACTCACAGAGGCTTATTCTTAAGTATAAATGCTTGGCCTTAGTTTGGCTTGTTGCTAGCCAGCTTTTTTTTTTTTTTTAACTTTAAATTATCCCGTCTTACCTTTTGCCTCTGGGCTTCTACTTTTCTCTTCTGTAAATCTTAATCCACTCTTACTCCGTGGTTGGCTGTGTAGCTGGTGGCTGGCTCCTGATGTCTTGCTCTGCTTGCTTTTCTTCTTGCTCCTCCTAGATTTCTCCTTTTATTTATTCTCTCTGCCTGCCAGCCCCGCCTTTTCTCCTGCTTCGATATTGGTCGTTCAGCTCTTTATTAGACCATCAGGTGTTTTAGACAGGCACAGTAACACAGCTTCACAGAGTTAAACAAATGCAACGTAAAGAAATGCAACACATCTTTGCATCATTAAAGCAAATGTTCCACAGCATAAACAAATGTAGCACATCTTAAAATAATATTCTACAACAGCCATTGACTAACCTGACTGGTAACAGTTACTGAGTTCCATCACTGTAAAATGAGGGCAGGGATTCTGACCCGACCTTAAGTCTATTGTGAAGCTCCGTTATGGTAGTGTATAGGGAGCATTAGATGGTAACATTGCTACTGATGACCCAGTGTTCTGAGAAGCAGCAATCCATCTGGAAAGAGAATGGGATCATACTTGTCCTCTAATTCCCTGGCCTAGAACAAGGAGTCTATTCAGGTTTGCAGAATGCCTCTGGTGAATTGCCTCCAGATGTAGGTAAGGCTTTCATTCACTAACAGGGATAGATAGTATATATATCTCCAAAGGTCGTGGGTATCCATGGGTAGGTAGGATTTCCTGCATTTTACTCACTTCTCCTTTAGACTTACCTAGATTGTCACTTATTTGGACATCAACTATCTTTCCCTTTTCATTCTGTCCTCTTTTTGAATTTTGAAGGCTTGGAAGAGCACTTGCTTTCCAGTGCTCTTGGAATAACTTTCAAGGTTATTCAAAAGACATTTCTTTTCCATCATGCTATTCAGACATAGGCTCTCTTTCTAGTTATACATGTTATAATGGAATGTATAGTAACATAAAATAATTCTTGCATTTGAAGATGGCCAGTCACATCAAAGAAGAGCTGTTGATGCAGCAGTAATTGCTGTCTGTCACTAGTTATCTTTCCTAGCTGAAATTCCAGTCCTTCATTAACTTACATAATTAAAGTTAAGCTGTGGGTCTGAAATATTGTTTGGATTATTTCTTTGGTGTTGGTATGACAGATGGTTCACTTGTGAATTTGTCAGTTATTTTTGTGCTGAAAATCCTTTTTTGTTCATTTTGTCTATCTTTTTGGAAGAGTCTGGTTATCAAACTGGTAACCTTCCTATCTCAGTCTCCCAAGTGCTGGGGATACAGACTGCACCACCATTCCCAGCCCGGCCCTGAATTTTCTTAAGAACTATCCTTTGGTGTCTGTGTAACTGTCTGTTGTAACCTCTGACATAGTGTACCTTCGCCTTAAGCAGAATAAGCATACAGTGATTAACAGTCAGACTCTAGAGTCAGAACCATCTGTCTGAGTTTGAATTCTGGTTCTATCAGCATCTTCAGCAAATTACTTCATCTCCCTGAACCTCATTTGGAAAACGCAGCAAGTAGTAGGATTGTCATGAGTGTTACATAAAATAAAATACTTAAACTGCTGCTGCTCTTTCTAATATATAGTAAACACACACAGAAATGTTGCTTGTTACCTTTTGGATTTAATATTTTAATCCACTTAAAATGTATGCCATGTATATGAAGATGATAGTGGAAATAAGCCAATAAGTGGGATTTTATGGCATCACTAAGCAGTCCATGACTAAGCTGTGTTACCTAAACCCACCTTTAAAATGTTTATTTATTCATTTATTTAATTTGTGTGTGTGTGTGTGTGTGTGTGTGTGTTGGGCATCTGGAGGTTACAGGACAACTTACAGGAGTCCGTTTTCTCCTTCTACCATGTGAGTCCTGAGGATTGAACCTCATTGTCAGACTTGATGACAGGTACCTTTACCCACTAAGCCTTCTTACCTGTCCAGACTAAAAACATGTATTCTTTTTGAAACCTTTTCCTCTATTTAACTTGGTGATGCCACTAGCACTTAACAAGACAGCCCTTCCACAATCCAGACAAATCAAGTGAAGGCATATGGCAGCCGTTGTCTGCTTTAGTGCTGAAAATACACCTTCTGACTATTGTCTTAGAATTATTATTTAGTGTTTCATTATTTTTGCTTCAGAGCTGATTATGCAAATTTATTTTTAAAAATAATTTTTATTTATTCATTGAGAACTTCATATATGTATACAATGTATTTTGATCCTATTCATGCCATTTCCCCCTTATACTCTCAGGTTTAAGTAACACAGTCTACCTCCCAACTTCCTATCCTGTATTTTTTTTTTTTTTTTAAATATCTCAGTTCAGTTAGTGATGCCTGTGTGTGCATGGGGGTAAGGCCACCCACTGGAGTTTGGGCAATCTTCCAGTAGCCACATCACCTAAGAAAATGACCCTTTTTCCCACAGCAACCATCGATTGTCAATAGCTCTCAGCTGGGAGTGGGGCTTGTGAGCTCCCCACCCCACTTCATGCTGGGATTTTGTCTGTCTGATCTTTTGTTGGTAACCACAGCTGCTGGGAGTTCATGAGTGCAGTGCCACATCCTGTCCAGAAAACAGCATTCCCTAGTGCTCCTCCCCACCCGCTGACTCTTTAGCAATGTCCCCTGAGCCTCAGGAGTGAGGGTGGTATAGATGTCCCGTTTAGAGGTGAGCATTCCATAGTCACTCATTCTCAGCATTCTGATCAGTTGTGATTTTTATCTGGTTTTCTGGATTTAGCTGGTATTTTTTCTTATTTCACTGTAAGAACTACTGTGGTAATTATGTAAACTGAAGTGTGTATTCATATACTGAGCTAGTTAGAAACAAGCCTAAGCTATAATCCAAGCTTTCCTAATTAATAGTAAGTCTCCGTGGTTTTTTTTTTTTTAAATGAGCTGATGCCCCTTCCCCTCCCAAAAATCTGTCTGCATCTCTCCTCTGTGCTAGTCCTTTTAAATGATGCCCTTTTTTGGTATATTTTGTTTTTTTCCAGTGTCATTCTCCCACTTCCTCAGAATGTGAAAGACTATTTACTCGACGATGGGACTCTGGTGGTTTCAGGAAGGTAAAGTATATCAGAAAACAATTCTTTATAATCATAAAGAAATGGTGTACCGATTAAGTCAACATTTTTGCATGGGTGAATAGATTAGCCTAGGCATACCATCCTCTTCATTCAGGAGGCAGAGGCAGATGGACCTCTGTGAGCTCAAGGCCAGCCTGGTCTACACAGCAATTTCCAGGCCAACCTGTACTACACAGTGAAAGCCTATCTCAAAGTAAATAAACAAATAAGCACGTCCTTGAGATTGATGTTCAGGTCCTCATGGCTGCACAGCAAGTGCTTTTGCTCCTGACCCACCTCCTCAGCCCCCTTGTTTGTGTTTTTGAAACAGTTTTATCATATTCCACACTGGCCTGAACTTTACTGTGTATGCAAGTTGGCCTTGTTATTGCCTGCTGGATTTTTAGTGTAGCTTTCTGGATTGTATTTCTGGCATTGATTACCCCTTTTCTTTTTTTGTTTTTTTCTTTCTTAAAAAAAAATTTTTTTTAATTATTTATTTATTCCTATTTTATGTCCATTGTTTTGTCTGTGTGAGGCTGCCAGATTCTCTGGAACTAGAGTTACAGACAATTATGAGCTGCCATGTGGGTGCTGGGAATTGAACCCACGTCCTTTGGAAGAGCAGCCAGTACTCTTAACTGCTGAGCTATCTCTCCAATCCCCTGAGCTTTCTCTCCAGCCCCCTCTTTCTTTCTTTTTTTGTTTGTGTTTGAAGACAGGGTTTCTCTGTGTAGCTCTGGCTGTCCTGGAGCTTGCTCTGTAGACTAGGCTGGCCTCAAACTCAGAGATCTGCCTGCTTCTGCCTCCTGAGTGCTGGGATTACAGGCATGATACACCACTCCCTGGCCATTGATAACATTTTAATAACTTGAAAATCGTTAAAGTAGAGTCTCATTAGTGTGGTGTAATTAAAGGATAAGGAAATAATTAAAAAAAAAAAAAGACTGCAAGCTCAGTATTAGGGTTCTGGCTAACATGGTAAGTTTCAGTCTGAGTTGAATCTTGTGCACTGAAAAGGAAACTGCTACTCCCAAGTGTAGTATA